AAACGCAGTAGTTGGAAAATAAACAATTAAACTTATAAATCGAACTGAGCGAATATAAAAAATAAATGATTCATTCTCTTATTATGTTTTTGCCTTATTATTATTCTAATTATAGATGTTATTCAGGTTACTGTTGCTCACTTTGCTCTATCTAAATTCTGGTTAAGTATTTTTCCTGTTTGCCGTGTAAGAATATTTTCAGATTATTTATTTATTTATAATTAATTAATAATTTAATATTGGCACGCTTTATACATTTTAGTATTATCTGACAGACAATATAAATAGCAAAGAGAAATTTCTGTTAGGAATTTATGTTATCAATAAATATCACATATAAAGGATAGGTATACCAGGCCCGAATACAGTGATAGGATTTGTGAAACTAAACCAATTTCACCAGCAAGTCAATTTAAAAGTAGATTCTTAATAAATGCGCCGTCAACGTGATCAATTCTGCGATGAAAGCCATTCTATTACCTGATTATTCTATTCTCTAGAGTTTGGTTACTTAACTAAGTAACCTTGTGTAAATAAATAATGTAACTAGCTAATTAAAAAGATTTTTATATTCTTTTTTATGTAAGTTAATAGTTCCGTTCTTGTACATTTTTTTTACTTCCCTTCTTGAAAATCCTTCAAAAAATTTCTGCTCTCTTCTTGTACATAATATAAATATTACCTACCACAAATAAATTATGATATCACGGCGCTTCAAAACAAATTGATTAAATTTACATTTGGGTATATTATCAGTAAAAGTCGAATTTGGAAACTGGTTTCAGGATGGAGTAATTCAAAACCGACAAGACCTGTCATCTGTGGATACGTTGCTAATAAAATTGCGCACAATACCTACTAAGGGGCATAAAAAGTACTTTTTATCGTTATAATCAAATATATTGATCCGCATTGAGTAAATGACTTTCTGTAACGGTACCCAAATGGTAATGGTATGGACAAATCGAGAATCTTCAATACACTTATGATTGCAAGTATTTTATTACACTTTCCTTTAAAGGAAACTCTGTAGGTACCTACTTAGGTACATTGCAGTGTTCAAATTCAATAGTTTAATCAAATCTTTTATGTAAGACTCGCTTTTTACACACATTACATTTGTGTGTTTGGTACCCTAATACTTTCGCAGGTTGATTTAGATGATGTTGGTTAATATGATTGAACTGGTTATCAGTTCAATCATAGTGTTTTTCTGAACCTTTCTAATGCTATTGGCAGCTACTGGCTTTTACAGCTTTATCACATGAAAATCAGGTCGAGTTCAAGGGGTCTTCCAAATCTTCGACGGACTTATGGAAAGGTTGAAAGTCAACTCCTGCTAACGGATACCAGTTTAGTGTATGTCTAGGGATTCGAACATAAGCTCTGGCCGTCGTCGATTCCTGATGAAATGGGACAGGATAGATCAAAAGCGACAATTTCGATATGATTGCGACAAAACGCAGTGCTGATTTTATCAAATAATAACATACTTAAAGGTATTTGTGGGTTCGGTACAAAACTCATCAGTAAAGAGATAAGATTCGCGGCCAGTTCGTGTGTCATGTCATTTAATCACATAATTCAGTGAACTGTCATGGCCTCCGTATTTGGCGGGAAAGCAATCCGCTTAAGCCAAAACGGGCAAGACTCGGGATACCGATCTTTAGTTCTTTATTGCGTTACATAGTCATTGCATAAGCTTTGCATTTTTCCCTAACATAGAAAAAGCAAGAAATATAAGCTTATATAGTAATAGTACTCATATTATCTGTGGTAATAATATATTTTATCCAAAAACCAAAGGAATACCACCATACAGCTTAATCTTCTGTAATATCGGTTTAGACAATAATGTCAATTAGGCAGGTACTCTATAAAATCATTTTGAATGATTTAATTCTTTTATTTTAGAAATGTTTTGTTATGATTAAGTTTTTTTTAAGATTGTGGGGTAGAAAATAATTTTATTGTCTATTCTGTATATACCTGTGCATCAAATTTAAGATGTATATTTCACTAATTGGACTTACATTTACCTACTTACCACATCTATTTTATTGTTTACGAAGCCATAATTTCGTTAATTCTAAACAAACACAATGGAAACATTGAATCAAACAATTTTTATTATAGTAGGGTTTTTATATAGAGCGATGAGTATTATATTTTTTTAATAATTGTACTTAGGGAATTTAGATAATTTCTTATATTATTTTAACCCTTTCACTCTGAGAGATTTTCCACAGCAAGTTACACAAATCCCATTATAGACGCTTATAATAATTCATATAGACAGGTCAACCTCCGCACGGTCTGTTCTGAAAACCATCACCGACCAGCACGACCAGCTAACTGACCAGATTTCGTGAGTTTATTCTGGTGGCACCAGTTTACAAAATCAGGTAATCACGAAATCATCTATACCTACACGAAATCACCTACCTAACCTACCTAACCTTGGTTAGGTACCAGACTACGTTGGTGGATGCACCATTTCATTATCACCTTTTATTGGCTTCCTTTATATTTTTTTAAAATTGATTTAATCTTATAATATTATTAGCATTAGGCATCTCATCTATAGTCTAAAATTATTCAAATTGCCAAAGGGCTATGAAAAAGACGATTTCCTTTTCCACAAACCTTTTTTGTACTTTGAATGTAAAACATCAATAGAAAATCTTTAAAACTGTGACTAACTAGTTACTCTTACTGATTCGCAGTATTGTACCTATCAATCAATCAATCACGCCGTAAAATAGTAATTATATTTCAACAAAAGAAATCGCAAGCAAAATTTATTTAACATTTAGTCCTCATACCTCCATTTATCGAAGAACAATGAGAGAGATCGATGCGCGTGGGCTATACAGTCGGTGCAGTTGTTAATACGACATAGTTCCATCAATCGAAATATTTTATATCAGATGGGACTTTGTAACGGTGTGATGATCGAGCCCACGCTTCCGGAGCCTATTATTTACATAATCTGTGATCATTCCGCATCACTGACTGTCTCAGATTGTGGGATGCGTAGGTACTAGTTGTTAAGTAATGAAATGAGTCGAGTGTGAGGTCAGAAACAATAAATCTTGAAACATTGAGTTACTCACTATGTCGCATAGTAACAAAACGTTTGTTTTGCGAAAAATAATTGTCAGTGAATAGTTACGGGAAACACCCAAAATGCTGATTCATATCTAGAGACGATCGAGATTCACGTACCTATGTGTCATTAAGATGATGTAAATGATATATCTTAAAAATATTTATACACCTAACAAAATTTCATACATATATTTCTTCATAGCTGATTAGGGATGGGTGGATGATGGGATGATGATGAATGTGTGATGATGAACTCATCTGTGCTAAAGGTATACGCTACCCTATCTAAAAATGTTTGTGCATAAAGTCTCAGGACAGTTAGGTTTCCTAGCGGGAACGAGTTCTCGACATGCTACCAGTATATTGCTAGTAATAGGGCATCCTATCCCCATTACTAATACCCTTCCCATATCGTTCAATATTTTATAAATGTGAAAAGGCAAATTTTAATTAATCAGCTAACAATAAAAATGTTATAAAATTTCATGAATAAAAATATAAAACTGTTATAATCTTGTAAATATTTAATAACAATAATTTATTTATTTTTATACGAATATACAAAGGTAAAATTAACAATTTATCGGCGATCTCAGTACACGGTAGCCTCGTGTACTGAGATCGCCGATAAATTGTTAATGAGGTAAGCTGGTGTTATTTAACATCCCGACTTCTGTTCCTGAGTAATGTCAATTTAAAATAGAATCCTCTACCAAGCTGCCTGGGCCAGGCGGCTTGGTATAAGAATGAACTTAGGCTTAGGTTTCCTTGTATTAAACAGGTGAATAGTGTTTTGCTCCCGTAGTCATCTATATTTGTACTAGTGACAAGAGGAAGTAGAGAGGATGATTGTTGCGGCTGAGCTGTAGGCTACCAACGGAGTCACAGGTGGCGGATAGTGAATGGCCATCAGATATGGTGGTTAGCTGCGAATATGTAGAATAAGCAGTCCCCGACCAAACAGCGGCAGCGTTACCAGGACGTGGTGGGAGGGTCGCGGTGTGAATCTTTCTATAAAATACCACAAAGGTCTAAAGACGTCGTTGTGACATGGGGATTAAAGACCGCTATTAAATAGGTCTTCCCCTAGCGTTGGAAGTGGCGACGCTAGTACTGGCAAAGGGCCGAAGAAATAATTTCAGGAAGGGCTTTTGACTAGATATCAACGGGCGAACTCCTTCGGCCGGTGAACCACGGTGTGGAAGGCAAATGGGGAAACCACCACACAAATTTCCCTAATAAATGGAGCACGAATGAAATGGAAAAAGAATATAGTAACGTTCTTGACAACGGGCTTCCACGATGTAATACAAAATGGGAGTCGTGTCGTATCAAGAATTAAAGAGCATGATGGAAGATCGCGGAAAGTGGCAAGAGCTCCACCGACAAGAGCGTAGCTCTTAAATTATGAATGAATGAAGTCAAGTGAACTGACAGTGGAGTGCCAAGAATCAATATTCTACTCTTTATAAATAGTAGTTCTTAATCGTAGTCAAAAATGTGACCATACAACGAATTTTATTTAATTTATTTAATTTAATTGTTTTCTGTAAAGTTTGTGTGTTTGTTATATTTTATGGTAGTTTCAAGTTTATAGAGTGTGCACATAAAACTGTTCACTGAACTTATTTATAGAGGTGTATTCATCCGTCTCTAAGGGGTAAGAGAGAGTATTTCCGAATCCATTATCCAAATTAGAAAGTATGAGAATAACACACACTCATTCCAAAATATAAATAACTAACCAGTTACAAACCTAAGGAAGCAATATCCACATATGTATAAGTAATAACTATTAGGAACTAAAATATAAAAATGTTTTGTTAAATTTAAATTATAAATAACAACTATATAAAAATATATAACCATAAAAAATAAAGTGCTTTGTTAAAAACAATAACAATAAAATTTATTAAACACAAAGTAAACCGAATTACATTTCATAAAATATATTAATCTTAAATAATTAATAATATGGCAGATAGAATTACAAATACCTAATTATAAGGTCCAGTAACGACAACACAATTCACTTCACTATGTCACGCAAAAGTCCTGTCTATGTATTCATAGTCGAATTCAGCGAAGAAAGAATCGAATGGCGAAAGAGAATCCTCAGCGAACTCTGATGTGTTCTCAGCCTCTAATTCTGCAGAGAATTCAGATAGATCAGAACAGAACGGCGAGGGCCAACGTTCTGGCCTTTGTGTAGAGTCGCTTTCTGGGCTTGAATCTCTTAATGTAGCCGAGAGTGCTGATATGTAGCGCATAGCGAGACGAAGAGTTGTGATCTTGGTAAGTTTCTCGCAGGGTACGGGGGTGCCTGTGATGGCTGAGGCCGGCACTGCCCGACGTAGAGCTTCGAAGGCACGATTGATTTCGCGCATTCGACTTCTTTCACGCGCGTTTGCTGTTTTTCTTCTGTACTTGCTGAGTGGCTGGGGCGTGCGGCGCGCACGCGGCTCGCGGCTGCGCGCTGCGCGCGGACGCAGCTGGTACTTGTCGTGCTCGGGCATGGAGTGCTGTGAGCCGCAAGCTGCCCCACGCGACGAAGCCGCCCGCGCACGAATTCCGCTTGAAAAATACGCTCACTCCGCCCACTTGCCCCGTTTCGTTCATGTACACTTGCGTTGGAATTACTTAACATGTAACAAATGTTGGCTGTTATCTGTTGTACATTATTTATTTGTTGTTCTGTTCCTTATTTATTACACAAAGCTTTCCGAATATTATTGTTGTTAACAATATAAAAATTTCGTCGCTCACGTAAATTCAGGGGAAAAAATTCATTGTTAAGTTAGGTAATTGTATATGATAAATTTAATTGATTTTGCATATCACAATAAACTGGATAAGAAAAACATAGTTTTCTATATTAATGAAAATTCATAAAGGACATTTAATTTTTTTGAAGATACCTTTACTTAAATTACACTATTTCATGCCACGAAAGAGACAAAAGAAGAAAACTAACACTGTGTAAAAATGTAATTACATTTTTAAAATATTATTTTATATATAAAACTATTTATGAACTTGAAATTGCATTGCACTGTAGCATATAACTGTACATCGTTACAATGAATGAACAGGCAAATAGTAGCCATGGTTACCCACCTAAGTAGGTAAAAAGTATCTGTAGTTAAAGAGTAGTAACAATTTTAATACAATTTGCATAGTTGATTCGGCGTTTCCGTTCTTGCCGATGGCTAATTGCTTATCGACCTTGTAACACCGCGTGGGCAAAAGTTTATCACGTGGGCGCCTAATAATGTCACAAAGTGATGACTGCTGCTGCCGGAACGTTACACCACAAGATTATCAGCTATTACTACAAAATAGATGAGTTTTAAAATAGTTGAATTTGGTGCATTTGGACTTATAATTATTTGCCTTAATGTATACGCTAGCACGGCCCCATTGGTTGACGATAATATTAGGGTGCAGTCACTTCAGTTAGCTCATCGTGTATATATCTGTATAATTAGTACAAAGGGTATACGATCACAAAATCCGACAAAAGTATGAAGGAATAGACCCATTTTCTCCAAAAAGGTAAATGGAAAAGCTCCTAATAATTTAGATACGCAACTAACTGAGCGAGGGATAGGGTCAGTGGTCACATACATTTATTGATGTCCAGAATTCCTGGTTACATAAGATAGGTACATAATGTACTTTATACATTTTGTAAAATAATAATAAACAAAAACTTCATTATGCAATAATAAAATTTATCTTATAAAGAACTCGTTAATCATAGGTATCTATAGTTATCTACTTCAATGCTTATATATGTATTCCATTCTAAACTGTTAATTCCATTTTTAAATTTGGAGGGAAATACAATATTTCAAAAGAGGTTTTTTTGTCAATTGTTTAAAAGCGATTTGAATGAGAATGGAGTTGCATTGTCAAATTTTGTTGTACTTTGATAAAAAAGATTTCTTATTTGATATGAGTAATACCTGTGATGAATTCATAAAACAACTGAATGAGAAAACTATAAGTAAATATCCTCCATGTAGACATCTAATGGAATTGGATATTATAGAATTGCTTGATAAATACCCTGAAATTGGACTAATTCTGTTAAAAGAACCATATAAATGGCAAGCGGTCTGTAATGACATTTTATTTGCATGTTTACAATCGTCAGATAATGTATGGGTTCAATATGTAGTGTTAACACAAGTTGCAGTAACTTTAAGATTGATGTGTGTACCAAGTTTACTTATTAATCCAAATCCCCGACATTATAAAGGACTGGTATTAATCGAAGGATTGTTATTATCTGTTTCTAAACCAGAAAGTTATGCCTATCATACTGTTTGGTCTTGTCCTCAAGAGTGTGAAGGTAATGAAACTGTTATACAATATATACCAAAAATACCTCCAAAATGCTATGTTTGCAAAAGTGTACTCTTCGAAAACAGTGGACTTAGAAGATGTGGCGAGCAAGTAATAGCTGTATTGAAAATAAAAAATGATATATTGCTGAAACGCTTTACAGTTAGGGATGATTTAATTTCAAAACTAAAACTCGGCAGCACATACATTCTGCATGCAGTGATAACAAAAAAACTTTCAACTGTGTGGTCTCTTGAAGAAATAGTTCCTATGCCTTTGTTAATGACGTTGGCTGTTCCTAAAGACATTGAAGAAGTGTATCAAATATGTGAAGCTGTACCATGGGAATTTATATATTGTCTTTCGTCAAGTATTGGAGTAAACATTTGTCCTTTAAATTGTTACATGAATCTGAAAATAAATTTGCTATTAAGTTTGACCAGTGTGAAAGCAAATGTCCTGAATAATTCACATATTATTCATGTTTTTGCTGTCGGTTATGATACAGGGTTTGTTGGAAAGATAATGTTAGAAGCTGCAAAATTAGCTCACAGATACTTGAACTTGGGGACTGTTAATTCCACAGTAACTGCAACATTACTAGGATCTTCAGGTGGTATTTGTTTAATGCCATTGCCGTTTCAAGTTTATAACCAAAAGCAAATATCTTCTCTTCTGTCAGCAATGGAATCAGGAGAAATAATCACTGACACAGATCGAGGGAAACTTCAGTGTGCAGTTTGGGCGCAAGGAGCGGATAATAAGAAAGCTATTTTATATAATGTGACTAGTATATTTGGAATGGTTAGTAGGGGTGATTATGGAAAGTATAACGATAAAATTGTAGACTTTCTTCTGCAAAACGCTATAGTGCCTTCAACTGACAATTTTGAAGAAATACAAGCATTAAAAGATGTTGCATTATATATAGACTCAATAGCTGGATTACAAGTTTCGTTAGATAATGACTGCGAAAATCTCTTAAGAGATTATTTTTTGGCATCTCGCAAGGAAAGACCCAGAATTGTGTCAGCAAGGACAATGAAAGCTTTAGTTGCAGTTTGTCTCAATTCTGCGAGGCTGTGTCGGCGTCCCGTGGCATCAACTGATGACGCAATATTCGCGATTTGGTTACACGTGAGTGGCAGCCCGGAACCAAGAATCGCTCCAGATGAATACTTAGAAACACCATCCGATATAAAGAAGTTAAAAAAGATTTTTAATAATTTTAAAATCTGGTTACAGGATTTTACTGGCAATTGTTTACTTTAAGTTATGAATAAATATTATTTTGTTGTACTATTTAAAACATAAGGTATATATTTCTAAAATAAAAATTAATGGTATTAATGCATATTTAAATACTTTATTGCACACCTTTGTGATGATTAGATACAAAATAAAATTTGTATTAATAAAAGATAAATAAAATCTGTTAGAAACAAATAACAACAGAATTAATTATTAGCATTAGATACATTTTACAATATTATGATTTACAAAGTTTGGCTTAAATTTTTAGACTAGGAATTCATATTCAATTAATTATTCTACCATATTAAACATGTTAATAATTTTGTAATACAAAATCTAACAATTTTTATCTACATATATTTGTAAATTTAAAACAAAAATGTATTATCACAAAATTACAAAAAATATATAAAATAGAAATTACACATATAAACATACTTTTAAGATTATTGTACATTTTTTTCAATACAGATATATTATAATACAATATTATTATCTATTCTAAGGCACATTTAATTTGATTTGTATAAGACAGCCATAGAAGAATTCATTCTTTTGAATTTAGGAAACTATAATCAAAATTTGTTTTATCTAATAATTGCTTCTGAACACTAATTTTTTCAGTAAGCTTCTTATGATCTCGTTTTAACTTTATACTTTCTTCAATTAATGATGTCAGGTTCTCATCATTCTCAATTTTATTATTAATCTTCATGCAGTGATTAGATACAGCTTCACCAATCTTAAAATTGCTTTTTTGAAAAGACACAACACTGTATGGTAGATCAACTAAATTATGGGCATCCCTGATAAGTAAACTTATAGTAGACCATGTACATTTATTTAATTCATCAACAACTACGGCAGATTCTTTTATTAAATTGGCAGTATTATTTGCAGCATGTGTTATTACATCTGCTATTTTATAGAATTCAGTGCTTAAATCTATTAGTTTCAGCATAAATACTTGGTTTCGAATTTCTAAAAGAATTTTGCTCCTTAACTTGAGGCAGTCATAAGATATTTTCATAATATCATGACATTGTTTCTCTTTAACTCTGCATTCATTATAAGATTCGCTTTTCTTATATGCTATGTAAACACTTGCAACATTCTTGAATATATTTTGAAAATTATACTTTTGTATAAAATTGTTGAGATCTGCAGATAATACTTCATTACTCCGCCTAGCAGCCGACTGTAGTCTAACAGTAAGTTGTGACCATGCTGTTTGTAGTTTACTAATTTTATCATTCAGATCATCTGCATCATTGAATAGTTTTTCAAAACCTCCTAGGAGATTTGTTCCTAAGCAATTTTCTTTTAAATCATTGATTTGTTTCTTACCTGTTTCACACATACTTGTGATTACCTCTTTAGTAGCAAGAAGTTCACGGATATCTTTGTCAACTGTATTATGTTTTAGAAGCATTTGAGTTTTTTCATGTTTTAATGACTCAGCTCTAGCGAATAACCCCTTAACAAGGGAGTCATAAAATTCCATTTGTGATAAAACAAAGTAAAATCCATTTCTGTACAGATTTTGACTGTTCTTAAAATTATACAAAGCCTTAGGATGTTCTAGGCATCGTTGAACTGTTTTAGGTACAATAGGTTCAATATTTTCTTTAATAAGATGAATTTTGTGGTAGACAAATAACATGACATTACAATTTGCATTCCAATGTTTTACAACCAGTTCATTATCATCAACTTCTGTGTATGTTGTTTGAGAAATGATAATTTGATCCTGAACTGAAATATGTGTATCTTTTTCTATCCATAATTTAAGTGTTGACAATAGAGTTTCATCATTAATTTCATATGCATATTGGGATGAAGTAAAAACTGAAAATATTTTAATAATTTTCTTTGATAAAATATCTGAAAGGAGACTAAATAGTACAACTTTACTTGTTACTTCCTTGTCTTCAGATGGTATGTTAAATGTAACCTTGGAAGGGGAATCTCTTCCTCTTAATTTTGGGTCCCACTCAAGAGCAAGTCTCAACCATTCTTCAATCATTAACTTGAAAGGTTTAGAAATATAGTTTTCTGGAAAAATTTCATCTGAATATTCAATGTCACCATGGAAAGTCTCATATACACAAATGGTTTCATGAGCTTTCTTTTTGACATGTGGCATCCACTGTACTGGTGCCAAGAATGGTAGAAATGGTCTTGTGCCACATATAATTTCAAAAGCAAGAAGACCAAATGACCAAAAATCAACAGAATTACTATATGTCTTACTGTACAGTATTTCAGGAGCTAAATACTGCAAGGTCCCAACAAAACTTGCACATACTGACTTTGAATCAATTTCCTTGGCATAACCGAGATCTATGAGTTTATATATCATACTCCTTTGACCTTGGCCACCACCAATATCACAGGTGCCAGTTGTATCTAAGAACTGCATGACAATATTTTCAGGTTTAATGTCTCTATGTGTAATTTTATTTTGATGAAGAAACTGCATAGCATTTCCAATATCATTTAATATTTGTCTGACTTGTTCTTCTTTTAAGCCACCACAAGATTCGGGTTTATTAAGTAGTTGTCGAAGAGATCCCCCACTACAATACTCCATACATAAAATTGGTAATTTTGAGGGATTTATGGGTTCCAATCCCGCTATAAATTCATGTGGTAACTCTTTCGTGCTTACTATGTTAGGATTTTTGCAATTTTGCAACATTTCCACTTCCTTGGACCATCTTTCTTTGTGTTTGGCGCTGAGTTCATCGCCCCATTTACACGTCTTGATTGCAAGTTTTTCATCGGTCTTTTGATGTTTCCACAATACTACTGTTCCAAAGCTTCCTGATCCCAGTAATCTATCTTTAACCCAGTCGCCAATGAATACAACATTATCCATTTTGAAGAATAATTTCTATATTGAAATTGAAGAAAATATCTTGGTGTTTGCAACTTACTTGCTTAATTTGTTTCCCTTGAATTCTTTAAGCATTTTATGGCATATTACATTAAAACAGAGGTATGATATAAAGCAAGTATATACTGAATGATTACTATTAATAATTTAATAAATAAAATCAAAGAAACTAAAAAAATACCAAAATAACTTCTTTCATCATATTACAGATTGACTAATACTGACAACTGTCATTTTAACTGACAGATAATATGACGGATAAAAATAGATCATTATCTGTAAAATCTGTCAGTCAATTATGACATGCGATAGACGTCAAACGATACAAATCAAACCAGTAAATAAATAAATAATTTATTTATTGCTAATTCGTTTTGATATTCAATCTTATTACCTAAATATAGACCAATAAACCAAAATTATAATATTACAAATTCACCATTTCTCTAGATACTCTTTCAGTTTGAACATAAAATCTCGTATAAAGCATAAACTATTTTGTTCTTTTGTGGTACAGGCACATATTAGTTTTGTGGGTAATTCTAATTCAAATTTGTTGTATATTTATTTTATTGTGTAATAATATAATACAACTGATGACATTGAAGACTGTGGCTACATTATTCTTTTTAAATTGTAATAAATACGGACGAAAAAAATGTTGGAAATAGACAAATATTGTCGTACTTGTATGAAATACAATACAAGTTTGATGGACTTATTTCAACCACTTCATTATGACAATATTGCTCCAGTACACAATGTTCTAATGGAATGCACTGGAATGCAGGTAAACTAACTCTTATAAAGAATTTGATATCAATGACATGTTTATTTATTAATAACATACAAAATGTTTTATTACAGGTATCAAAAGATGATGGCTTGCCACAGAAAATATGTGATGATTGTTTAAAAATGATTAAATCTATGTATTCATTTCGTGAACAAGCATTGTTAGCCGAAGCTAAATTAAAGAAAATTATTTCAATACAAAATGTAAAAGGCGAAGAAATAAAAACAGAAGTTAAATCTGAAGTAGTAGATGATTTTGATGCAAATCTCGATAGTTTTTTACTTGATTCAGACTTTCCTAAGGAAGAAGTTGAAGACTATCATCAACATAACAATGTGGCTGATGTTTGTAGTGAAATAGATTTACCAAAAAATGAATATACAGATGACACATTTGATGGAGACTTTGCATTATCCGAAAATAATTTTAATTTGGAACAGTACTCAACTAGTAGAGAATCAGATAGTTCTAAGAAGTCACGAAAAAAATTCTCATGTTCAATATGTAATAAACAGTATAACAAAATTTCTTCTTTAAATAAACATTTAACCAAACATAAACCATTAAATAAATTACGATGTAATATATGTGATAAAGATTTTGAAACAGAAACTTTGTTAGTTGAGCATACCTTGAGTCATAGTGAGGAGTTAACCATAAAAACAGATACTAATGAAGATAAAATATATAAATGTCCAAACTGTGATTTGAAGTATAGTAAAAGAAGATCTCTTTCAATGCATCTAAAAAGGCACAAGGGTGAAAATTCCCATAGCAATAAAAAGCGGTATGTTTGTGATATGTGTCACAAAGATTTCGCTATGAAATCATTGTTGAAAAGGCACATGCAATTACATAGTAAAGAAAAAGTTGTGAAATGCACTATATGTTCTAAAAGTTATTACAGACAAGATCAATTTCTTGAACATATGAAAAAGCATAATGGAATTAAACCTCATGTATGCTCTTATTGCAATAAAGGTAAATATTCTTACAGATAATTAAATATTTTTTAATCTTCAGAAAAAAATGTTTTAAAAAGAACAATTTAACTTTGTGTGTTAATTAAAAAAAATTGTACTTAAGGAAATAGAACTCTTCTTAACAATAATGTATTCATCATAATTGTTAAGAAGAGTTCTAATTCCTTCAACTAACATTTTTTTAAAAATTAATTTAAAAAAATATGTTATTCATAATTGTGTAATGTTTGATTATTCGCAAGTGTTGGTGTTTATTGGTTTAATCCTTTTACTTATTTTCTAAAATTATTCTATTTAATAATACCAGGTTTCACACAGCTGTGCAGTCTAAAGGACCATGAGAGGACCCACACTGGAGAGACACCTTATCTCTGCTCCCAATGTGGAAAGGGCTTTGCTAACAGTTCAAACCTTAGACAACACATGATGCGCCATACTGGACTCAAGCCTTTTTCTTGTAAATTGTGCCCTAAAACATTCTGTACAAAAGGTATAAATACATAAGGTCTATGCGCATAAATTATGAATGAGGTGTTTAATTATACCCTGAACCTAGAGTAACTTCAACATAGTCACTCATCTTATTTTTCTCCATACGCACAATTTTTGTTAAACTCTTAACGAAAATTACAAAGTTTTTACATCACTTATTAATACACATTAAAGTTATTTTTTGTGAAACAATTACATTATGTTTAATTTATTTTCAGGACAGGTAACATCACATATGACCACACATACTGGCGCGCATCCGCATAGTTGTGAGGAATGTGGCGCCAGATTCACAACAAACACTTCTTTAAAGAAACACAAATTAATACACCTAGGAATCAAGCCATACAGCTGTGATACGTGCAAACAAAGGTGGGTTGTTTTTATAACATAGGGGCAAAGAAACTTGGGCTCACCTGATAGTAAGTCTTCACCGCCTATGAGCATTTGCAACATCGGAAGCAATTCCATGGTGTTGCAGTGGCAGGTAAATTGCCAGACTTTTATAAAGAGGGGAGAATAGGAAGACAGGAATTAACATTAACAAAGGCATAGGATGGAGGCGGATGGGCGTAAAGAACCTCCGAATTTTTTTCTTTCTATACTATGGTGGTGGAAAATAAGCATACGGCCCATTTGATGGTAACCGTCGCTTATATTCTATTTGTGCTTCCTAACACACGTGTTCATACAGCGTGTTCTACTTAAAAAGAGTTATTTCTTCATCTTAATTTAGTTGCCTTGTTGGAAATGTAGTGCCGTAATACCACATTTCCAACAAGGTATGGGTACTATATATCTTATTGTTTATGATAATTAGATGGAGATGTTATTTTCTCAAGGTTTCTACAATTCACACAATATGTGTCACATAGTTATTGAATATTATTTTAATGTGGTATACTTTAAAATGTCACTTGCCATAAAAATTAAGTTAATTCTTTTTTTATATTCCTTTTTATGTTCTGTTTTCAAATAAATTTTCAAATGATTTCGCTTTCTTAGCAAAAAGATCGCCGTTAACTCATATTCTGCGTATGCATAATATCTAATATGTTTAATATATTATAATAATAATTATTACAAAAAAAGTCTGAAAGTCACAAGTTTGTGGACCTAATTTTTAATTTTTAACCAGCCTTGACATGCATGCTATTATATTATAGCCCATGACTAACAACTATGAAATGTTTAGTTATTAGCAATGATATATTTTTTTATTATTTACAGTTTCTCATGCAAGGACCATTTAAAACGACATTACCGCATCCATACCGGAGAGAAACCTTACAAGTGCATATATTGCGAACGAGCTTTTACACAATCCAATGATCTCGTCAAACACAAACGAACACACGAGGGACAAAATTTATATAGGTAATGAATTTCTTTAATATAAATACATAGTTATATTATTTTAGATATTATATAGCAGTAAGATCAAGTGGTACTAAATCCTGCAGAACAAACTGTTCCACTTTATTTTTAACATAAAAAATATGTTCGCCAACTATAGCTCAGGCTATAGTTGGCGAAGTCTGAATTTAGCACAGAATTTGCGCCTAACTTTAGACTAGTCATTAGTGGTCCCAAAATATTAATTGGTAATTTTAATAGTATTATTATGTCTTACATTCTAAATGCTATTGTCAGAATTGGTTGTAATTGTTATTTGACATTTAGGAGCCAGTAATTTCACTGCCTTATCCCATCCTTAAGTCGAAATACATCCTACGCTGCTCAGCGGCTGTGAAATAAGCGAGATTGAGGTGCCCACGCAGACGACTTTACAAAATCTACCTTAGAAATATTGTAAAAGGAGAGATATTTTACAAAATAAAACTTTGTAAAAATAATGTGGGTATATTATACATAATGTCCTAGTGGAACAGCCGTATGAGGCCGCGAGGTTGGTGTATGATTTGATTAGGAATAGGTTTTAATGGCACTTTTTTTATATTGTCTAGTATTTCCTTTTTTTTCTGTTGACCAAATACGTGTTTCTTCTTTGTATCAGAGATTAAGGTATGATGGGACTGGCGTACCAAAAATGGACAAACGTACCTAAATTAATAAAGAATAAAAAAAAGAAGAAATGTTATTACAACCAATTTACGTGTATTCCAGATGTACAATATGTGGTATGAGGTTCAGACTTGCTACCGAGTTAAAACAGCACTACCCAGTTCATTATGTTGAAGGTGATGTTACTATACCCATCGGAAAAGGGATAGAGGCACCTGTACTTATACTAAAACCTGAAGAAATGGCGCAAACGACGGAAACCAGTGTAAACGAAATAGACCCTAGAATTACTATAACAATCAATAGTGGCTTAGACAAGAATGGATTAGCTGGGGATATCACAATTGATATTAGCCCGGAGAAAAGTTAATATTATTTAGAACAAATTATATGTGATATGCGCCTTATATACAATTTAGTGTATCATAGATTCCTGTATTATATTTGGATACTAAATAAGGTATCAATCCATTCACATTCTAATGCCCGGTATTCTCATTTTATTCATCGCGTCTGTTCTTATAATAGGAGTATATTATCCTACTATATAGTTTAATTATATTATACATTGATCCTGAGTCAGTGATAGGAGTTTTAATACAGTATAGTGTCTTTTCAAAGAAATTTGTCATTTGTAAGTACTTATTCTGTAAAAAAACTCATATTAATGGTTGTAACAAAGTTACTTAGAATCATTGTAGGCATAATTTATACTTTTTTTATTATACATAAAAAAATTTATAAAATATTTAATTTATATTTTATAATTTTTTTTATGTAATTAAACATTCAAGGCATGTCTTTTCAAAGATATTTGTTAATTCTAAATACTTGTACCATAAGAAAATAAAGTCATTATCAATTATTGTTACTAAGTTCTCTTGGAATCATGGCCAAAACGGCGAATACAAATTGCAATGTTAAACCTAAATATCTATCTAAATATGTATCTTTTATATTAGAAGACAGTTACAAAATAAGACTGTTATTTAATTTAAAATTGGTTTCCCATTATGAAGTTTCATCACAACATTATTTTTGCAATATGTTAGTTACATATTGCAAAAATAATCTTGTGTAATTCTCGTAGATATTGAGCAATTTACAAAGATATGCCGTATATTTAAATATATCACCAATTCAAGGAGCTTCAATTTGAATTTAATTTAGTTATATATTATTACTAAAGTAGTGCACACTACAACATTATTCTAATAATTTGTAAATATATATAAAAATTAGAGTTTAACAGCGAAGTAAATATAGCTTTATGTTCCGATTAACTCTATCAAAAGAATCTTCCAACAATAATCTGACAACTTAATCTCAATTTTATTTATATACATAACACAGAAAACAACTTAACCAGCATCAGTTTATATCAATTTATAATTTTATGTGGCTGTTTGTGATAATATGTAAGCGAAATTACATTATATATATGTTCTTATATTATTTATTTAAAATACTCGTATTTAGTTACATTTCAATGTTTTATTACGATTTATAAGCGACAAGTTTCAGTACTTTTAAAAATAGTTCTATATGGGCACAGATAAAAAATATTGTACAGAGTAAGACAGTGCACATTAACGTTTATTTGAATTTGTTGTCAACAATCAATTTGTATCAATACTCCATAAAAGTATAGTTGTATGATTACAGTCAGGTCCGTAATAAAAGATATTGAAATAACTTTATTCAAATAAACTCAATACAAGCACTTTTGAACAGTCATATTATTTTTATTCTACCACTCATTCGGAACGCATACTCATCACAAGAAGAATGAGCAAGAAACTTGTATGTTGCTCTTTTGAATAAATGTTATTTTAAATAAATAATTAAACAATAACAAGTAAGATGCATAATCAATATAGAAACCGCACGCATTCTTAGTGCAATCAGATAATATTGTCAGCGCTATTAATTTTAAGTTTTTTCTACAAAAACATTACGTATATACTCGCTGTAAATAAAACATATGTTAAAAGATTGTGATAGGTATTTCTTAGAGGCTGAATTATTTACAATATAAACAATAATGTACATAGTGCATTAATTCACAATGAAAAATTGATGTTATTAGGTTTACTAAAATACCGATAATATTTTGAATCGGTGTCTACTGTGGATCGCCTTATTTACAATATAGAATTATTAGATATTCAGTCGTTTTATTTGTATGTTTAGTACATACATTTATTAATAATATAATTATAGATATAGAAATTTATATACTGCATTTTTACTTAATTATGAAAAAATAATCATGTACTAACATTGAAATTGGATCAAAAGGATTTATTAGGAATTGATTGACATTAAGGATTGATTATTTATTACCGCGGCAATGCTGCCAGCGTTATGGCAAACTCTGGCAGCATGTCTAGAGAAATCTTTTGAGCCACCTATGATTTGAAACGGGGATTTCACCTTGTTATCCTCCACTGGTGTTGCGCCAGCGTAAATTGTAAGAGGAGTCGGGAATAAGTACTATTCGATTATCATTCATAAAAAAAAATACTTTCTCAATTGAAATAACAGTCGTGAAGTATTTTTTGTTTGATTTAATAAAATAAATATATGTTAAATAATTACATGTAATTATTTAACATATATTTATTATAATATATTTTAACATATATTTATTTAATATATTTATTATAATTACATGTAATTATTTAACATATATTTATTTTATCATATATTTTGTTAGAATCCACTATTGATTTTTTAACTTGAACCTCGAAAGCTATTGAACTCAGTATTGATTGACTGATATTGCGGAATTCCACAACATTACAAAAGTTAATTCAGTATTCATAATTAGGACGACGTCTATCGGGTCACATAGTATTACCTAAATAAATTAGAAATAAAAGAAAATACGTTTAAATAGTGAGTCATGACTACGGATTAGGTATACTATACCAATTCTTTTGAAGAATACTTGAGTGTATGTTGAAGTAGGTATTTAAGCTTATTTCAACACAAGCCGTGTGCTACAGTCACGTCCTACAGTATACTATATATACAGCTATATATTTGTGATTGTTTTGTAATAAACTACTATAGTATATATATTGAAGATGTTAGTTAGATAATAGGTAGGTACATAGTTACGTTGTTTCTTATGAATCAACAAGTAGGCATGAAAAACTTGCTTCATAATAGGCACTCGTAAAAAGTGAGTCGAGATTTTATTATCGAACATCTTATTATTCATATTATTGATCAGACATCATAAACTTATGAATATTCAACATATTTTATGTATGATAATAAAATAATCTTTGAACTATTAGGCCAAACGATATCAGAAGATACGACGTTTGTACCTATCTCTGAATATACTTTCAGAGAATACTGAAAGTGAATACCTAACTTGCTCTGTAGTAAAATTACGTGATTATTAGCATTCTTAAAAAAATATTATAAAATGTATTGTAAGATTTTTTTTTATTAATTTTTATTTCATAATATAATAAGGAAAATACAAAGCTTTAAATAATACTATACAATAATGTTAGTTCTAAGTTTACGAATGGGTATTTCCAAATACAAAAATATGAGTATGCAATATTATCTTAACTGTGATATTAGTAAGCTTATAAGTTAATAATACAATAGTAAATAGGACATTTTGTAATGATAGACTGAGTTAGTCGATGTCAGAAATGTTTCACCCATAAGACTATTAAGTTAATATTTCAGAAACGTGAAGCCAGAATGGGTCGATACGTTATAAATCTACTCTACAATTATTATTGCTATTGAGTCTAGTATCAAGTAACATTAATCCAAATTTATACGAAGTGGACATTCTGCGTGAATTTATCTTTTATTTATATTCTTTGGCAAACTAGGGGTACGAGTGCGGGACAGGGCGAGGGCGGCCCGTTATCAGTGCGCAGTGAAAAGCCGTGGGCGGCGTACGAGGTAAGCTTACAAGCATTCAACATCTCTATTACTTGTATAGCTACAACCGCTTTCAATGCTTTTCTGTCAGCTATAATTTTATTTACAATTTATAAATGTGCCTTAGAAACCGGTCCTGATTTTCGTATATTACCGAATGTGGTTTCATCTCTATTTGAGTGATTGATGGATTTTGGTACTTATTGTTCACCAGTTGATGCTGATATAAAATGCTAAAAGGTTCATTGCACGCACGAAAGATAAAGTAGATTTGAGTAGGTCATCGTACAATCTTTAAGGGTGAGACATCGCGCCATGGGGTGAATATTTCCACCCCATCACTGTTATCATTTAAATAAAGTAGTGTAGTATTTTGTTCAATATTTAATAAACATGCTCGTTAAATGTATAATACATTGTTATTTATATAACGGGATTTAACTGACTTATAAAGCAGTTATCTTTCAATCCAATGACATTTTCTATGTAGGTACATATATGCACCTACATGTCTAATAAAGATTGAATAGTAGAAATCTGTGGATTTTATAAACAAAAATTTATGATGCTATTACAATAAATCGTTTTTACTGTAGTGTTGTGTTTTAAGATTTGAGAATTGTTTTTTTTTTGTTTCATATTCATTGTAATTTTTTTAATGTATCAATTTAATGTTTTTAAACAACCAGTATATTTAAAAAAGAATGATAAAATTGGGTAATTTTTTAAGGTTTAATTTTTTAATGCCAACTATTAAATACTACTTAAAATTTACTCAATTTAATCATTCTGAATTACGTGATAATGTATCAATATATTTTTTTTAATTTGCACAACAAACTTTCGTTTTGAAGTTCTCAGTAGTTGAAAGTTATCTAAACTCAATTTTTTTAATCACATAGACTTTTCGGCTTCTTGCGGATATCATATTTTTTTCCTCTTTCCCTACGCGTTTCATAAAAAATGCATTACAAGATATTTTGCATATACCTACAAGCTTTATTCAATAAGTGTTTCCTAATAAAGTATACATTAAAAGTTAGGTAAATCCAAATTACAATCAAAAAAAATAAAATTGAATGCCCACTCCCATAAAAGCGACTTTATTTAAAAGAAAGGGGACTGAAAGTTTATTTTATGAAGGTTATTATTAGATTACTATTTTGAGAAATAAATCACGGTTCTTGATACATAATATTTGCGTATATATATATCGTTAAAAGAAAATTTTATATATATGATGATGATACAGATAGAATTTTAGCCTCTTAAATTTTCTTTTAACGAAAATTTGTACAGGATAGTTATACACGATACAGTATATCACACTAACAGGACGTTTTTGTAGTTATTTCATATCAATATTTTCTTACTTGACACCCCTCTTAGATTATAACAGCGACAATGTTATAAAAATAAGCATTTATTCGCATAAAATCTAATTATTAAGTATTCTAACTTAATTTAATATTCTTGTATACCATTTTATATAGCTAGAAGACGTGGATATTCCCGTTATATGGCTATGTACATGTAGTATGGCGTCTCCTATTTAATTTATTATTGCATTTTCTGCATATCGCATATACATTCCATTGTTTGAACGCTGCGTTGGTCACGTAGACTGTAGTACTACTCTTGTTGATACTAATTTCAGCATTGAATTAAATTTAAGAAATTTGAATTCCTTTAAACTTTTAGTTACTAATTGGGGTGACTTATATCAATATTTTTGCTCTCCTACGATTATATTTATTGGATTTTTTTGTTTGTTAGATTTATTGTATGCTAAAATATATATATTTATACAAACGCGACAAAATACTAGCAATTAAAAATAAAAATGAAGGTAACAACGAATATATATCGACATTTTGTATAATATGCTTTATTCTACTAATTAATCTAAAATTATGATTCAAATTTTTTTGTTTGTTAGAGTACTAAAAAATATATATTATAGACAAAAATTATTACAAACTTGAATGTCTACAATTAAGGCCAATCCTGTTAGAGCAGCAAAAAAAATTACCGACTAATGGTCGACAATATTGCTTGTCTCTTTGGATCCTCCGGGATCGGGAGGAATCTCCCTGCCCCTGCTCGCACGAACCTCAATAATGACCTCCCCTAACTTGTATTTGCGAAGAATTTCTTTCATAGGTCCCTACGTTCTATATATCTACCTATCGACCATTATTCATCTTTGATCCGTGGAATTTGATAAAGAACTCTGTGTAGTTAGAGCTACTGAAATTTAGTGTGCTTTACATGTTGATTTACAATTATTAAATAGATTTCGTACCGAAGTGTGACTGAAGCGGGATCTCTACATAATTATTTAAAAAAACAGGAATATTTTTACGTGTAGACAACGTCATTTGGAAAATATATATGTAGTAGAAAATATTAACCTGTTTTTGTTTAATAAATTTTGTAGTGATCCTGCTCCAGTCATACGAGGTATAGGTAGACTTAGTAAAAGTCCCCTGTGTGAGTACCTCAGTTTCATCTATTTCAGCCGACAAGCAGCTTGCTTTGTACGCTATTGTATACCCCTGTATCGCACGGTATTGCCTGCTTAGAAAGTATCCTGTAACTATGTAGAAAAGGACATGTCCAATTGAAAACTATATATTTTCTCTGTGATTTAAAATATATGATTGAGTAGAAGGAATAGTAGTTTCATTTTGAAATAGTTCTAATATGGTATATATTATAGTTGGTACCTACATATAGGAATCTAGTATGCCTATCAAATATATATATTTCACTTTAATATACATTTATTATTCAGTAAGTTTAGACAAGACTTTGTGCTTATACTTCGAAATATGTACTTTAAGATCAAAGGCTTTCAGAATACAAAGCAGCGGGTAAATTCTTTGTAGTTAACAAGCCGTTGTGAAATTAATTAATAATAGTACAATAAGATGGATTACTATGAAACAACAGTTGAATACCAGAAACATTGTTCCTTAAGTAGGTTACAACGAAAGACTGTTTATTATCTACGTATTTGTATATACAAATTTGGACTTAGGGTTTTTGTTTCTGTAAGGGATGATTATGATATGATGTACGGTAGTATCTATAGGTAGTTATGGTAATAGGAAACAAGTGGAACACTTTCTCACACACCTAGAGCTTATACAGAATTACCTCAAAAATTTCATATTTTTAAAATTAGACTTTAAAATTATGGCTATTTTTCTCTGTTGTATCGTA